GCTATCATTTCCCCATTTTACAGACTGAGTAAAGAAAATAACTTGCCCAAGTTAGCACATGGCAAAGTACATGGCAGTTGAATTCCAAAATACATGTGCTTGTCCACTATGCTGTATCAGAAATGCTCCGTGTTAACGGCTGTGCTCCCCGCACCCTGGTATGCAATGTGATTTATGAATGAACGAACAAATGAACGAACGAATGAGTCTGTGGTTGTACCGCCACATTCACTGCCTGGAAGTCAAGAGTTGCTGGAGCAAAGCCCCTTTTTAGAAATAAACTCTGGCCAGAAAACTATAATCTTACCTGCCCTACTAAGTGTAACAAAGACCCACTCAATCTACCAGCTTCAACCTGGCTGGGAAAGAAACGTTGTTTGGGCTGGTGTTACCTCACCGGTTCAGATGCCACCTGGACGAATGGGAACAGAAGAGCAATCTCTTCCTCATGCAAAGTCCTTCAGCAATGAGAGTGACAGCCACGTGTACTGAGTGTAACCAGGAGGGCCTGGGACTCCATCCATTTTAAAGTGGCTTCTGGAGCTTCAGAGAAGAGCAGGTGCTTGGACTCGAACCGAGGCTGGCCTCCCCCATGTCTGTGTTAAGACCCCGAGCTCAGGGCCTCCAGAGGAAGCTGATGCTCACAAAGGGAAGTGGCTTGCTGAAGCAGCAGTTGGAACTAAACCTCTTCCTGATTCCAAACCCCATGCTTCCCCCGCAAACTGCACTGTGGACAGGCCAGTCCCCAAGGCAGGAGCTCTGGGCAAGTCTCACGTCTTCTCTTGAGACCCCGCTGGGCCTGTCCAACACTCCGAGCAAGCCCCCTGCCCTGCTGTCAGCCTCCCACTGGCCCCTATTTTCTCAGCCCGAACAGTCCACCCTCCCCAATTTACAGGGGACCTGAGAGGGGAGATGCCCACCACCCCGGCTTTCAACCCACAACTCCTAAACATGCCCCCACCCCCTGACACACACACACACACACACACTGGCCCTGGCATCTGCTCCCTCCTCTCCTCAGCATGATCACTTTGTGCAGAAACTATACGTTCACTGTCCACCTGGCCCACAGACTGGAGGGCTGGAAGGTGTGTGCACCGGGCTGGGGAGCAAACACCGAGGGCCTGTCTGCTGAATGGAGGGACAGCTGGACAAATGAGTGAACCAATGAATGTTCAGGGTCATGAGAACTCATAGTTCTCCTGGATAATTCTTTCCTGATCCTAAGCATACCATTCAGCAACAAGAGCATCTCCCTCACTCTTTCTCATCTCCCGCCCCCCCCCCCCCCCATATCTCTGCCTGTCTCTCCCCCTCTCCCTCTCCCCTCCGCCTCCCTCTCCTTCTACCTTGACTCCCGCTCCCTCTGGCTCAACCATCAGAGAAGGAAGAGACAAGACTTCTGTTTTGTCTTGGGAGGTGGGGAGGAAGGTGGAGGGCATCCTAGTGGAAGAAACCAGCCAGGAGGTGCACATGGCCACCCTGGGAAGAAGGGCTGTGCTGGGGCTGGAGGGAGGGGCTGAATGATGCCAGAAAGGGCCCTGCAGCCGGGGAAGACTCTGGACTGGACTTCACCCAGGAGGCAGCGTGAGCCACGGGGAGTATCTGCTGTGGGTGAGAAAGATCAGGCGGCAGCATGGCCCACACCGGGAGGGGATAGTTTTGAGGCAGGGAGGCCAGCGAGGAGGCCCAGCAACAGCCCAGCCTTTTCTGCCACCGTTCCTTCCGAGTCAGTGCCACCCTCTTGGCCACCATAGAGGTCACGTCCATTTCAGCCTCCAGAGACATGCTGTGCGTTCCCTCTGCCAGGAATCCCCCTCATTCTTACCCACCTGTGCCTAAAGCCCTGCTCCAAGCCCCCATTCCAGGAAGCCCCCACTCTGGTGTGACTGGGCACACTTGCCCCTGAATCCTGAGGCTCAGGTTGTCTGTCCCTCCCGCCTGGCAGGGGACCATCCCCCATCTCCCTCTGCTCTCCTTCCCCTGGGCAAGTCTTACCGAGATGCTGCCCTCCGCTGTCCCCCCCACTTCTGCCCGCATCGCCGTCACAGGGGCCTGCCCCCTGCACAAAGCCCCGCCATGGCTCCCAGGACAGTGCTGCCCCGCGGGGATCAGCCGGGTCTCGCCCACCTATTGGGCTGTGTGACCTCTTGGGGGCAGCTGCAGTAAGCAAAGGCCTTCAACACAGTGGGTCCCTGGAAAATGTTTGTTCCCTGGGGGCCAGCAAGCCCCGTGCCCACAGCCTCCACCTCCTCCTTCCTGCGGAGCCCCACATCAGAAGGAGGAGAGGGGGCAGCCATGCCACAGCCACAGGCAGCTACTAAAAGCAATGGCTGCCATGGAAACAGAATGATAATGATGATAGTGGCAACTGGCATTTACAGGGACAAGTACTGCTCCATAGTTGATAGTAATTAACTCATTAACTCTTCACTGTAGCCCCGTGAGGCCAGGACAGTTCTTATTCCCATTGTGCAGATAGGAACAGTGAGGCACAGAAAGGTAAATAGCTCATTCAGTGTGCAGTGGAGCCAGGAGTCACCCAAAGCCTGGCCCTAAGGCACCTCACCCTGCGACCTCACAGGGACAAATGAAAAGGGAAAAGGAAGTTGCAGAATAGGAGCCTGAGGTGGTTCTCATTTGGGGTGAAAGAAAATGAGGGGTTCATATGCATGACAGATGCACACGTGAGTGGCAAAGTGTCTGGGAGGATGTACTCCAACTGTTAACTGGGTACCTGTGAGGGGTGCGCAGGGCACTTTTACTCCATGTACTTTGGGGTTTTTTTTTTGCATTTTTCGCACGAGAAGAAAAACCCATGTGCTGTGTAATTAAAAAAGAGAAAATTCGAGGAGTTAAGGGTAGAAAAGGGTAAAGGGGGTCAAATATGCGCTAACAGAAGATGCCTTGACTGGGGGATACACAGTGCAGGACACAGATGATGTGTCATAGAGATGTAACTTGAAACCTATATAATCAATGCCACCCCAAGAGAATATATTTTATAAATATTTTCAAACCCTGGGTATGACCCATTAGTGGATTGTAAAGTCAAGTTAGTGAGTTGCACCCAGCAATGTAAAAAAATTAGATAGACTAGAATATAAAGTACCAGGTCAACAGAGGAAGTGGAAGCAAGCGTTACTTCCCTAGCCCCTCCTTCCCTAACCCCTGGCTGCAGCGCATACATTGGGGAGAACACGTGGGGCCTAGATGCATTTCTCACCACAGGCCACTCCAAGAATTCGAAAGCCACTGGTGCAGACTTGTTAGTGTACAGAGGAATCAGACCGGCGGCCAGGGCCTCTGGGTCCAGGGGGAGAGTGTGGAGGTGGAGCGACAGCTGAGGAGGAGGTCGGGGTGCCTGGCTATGGGAACTGTCCTGTTGGGCCCACGCCCGTCAGCTTCTGCCCCGCCGCCCCTTGGTATACTTTCCTCCCCTCCAAGGCCCTTGCTTTTGAGAGCCTTTGCCAGAATTTTGGGGTTGAATCTCCCCCAGACCAAGAATGTCTGCTCTCTATGTCACAAATGGCCACTTCTCTGTGCACTTAAGGATGTCCTCCGGGAGCTCCCGGGCCCACCACACGCACCGTGGTCAAGGGGCGGGGTGGGAAACTAAAGGATTCTTTCCCAGCTTCCAGATGAGGGGGGCCAGTCGGAGAGGCCCCCACTGTCTGCAGCGAAGGCGGTCCCACCCAGGGTGAGCCTGACCTCAGGCGGCGGTGCGGGAAGAGGAGCAGAACCCCCGCCCCCGCCAGCCCCCCTCCCGGGGCTCCCGGGGCCCTGGCGCCTCCACAGCAGAGCTCGCCTAACCCCTGCCCCTCCCAGGGCAGCAGACATCTAAGAAGATAAAATAAAAAGAAGTAATTCCCCTGCTCTGACGTCAGCGCGGGGTCTGAGCAGCCCCGGCGCAGCCGGAGAGCTGGATTGCAACCAGATGTAACGCCCTTGAATCCTCACACGACGCTGCGCTGGGAGAGAACAGGGCGGGGTGCACTCCGCGGGGAGGGGGGCGCGCGGTCCCGCGTGGGTCCTGGACTCGGAGCTGCTGAGACCAGCGAAGGAGCTGCGGGGGGAGCGGCGCTGAGGCTGCGGCCGGGCCGCCATTCAGCGCGGGCGCCCTTCCCCCGCCCCCGACGCGCATTGTTACCCGTCGGTCCATTCAGAGCCGCGGCCCCGGCGCCCCCGCCCCGGCTTCCCGGGAGGAGGCCCGCTCCGCCGGCCCGGACGGAAGGAGGACCACGGCCCAGCGGCCTCGGGCCCTGGCGGCTCCGACGCGAGCAAGGCTCCAAATGTCACCCCGTGTCCTGCCATCCCTCGCCCCCCGCGCTCGGGGACGTCGGTCTCCCCGGCCCCCGGTGCCCCTGCGCGGGGGCAGTGGACCTGGCCGCGCGCCGCTGTCTGGGGACACGGGCTCTCGTGTCTGGAGCCCGGACGTCACGCCACCTCCGAAGGGCGCGAGCCTGGCCTGGCCGCGTCGGGGCGCCCGGCCTCGGGCAGCTTCCCCGGGTGGCGGCCTGCGCAGGCCCGGCGCCTGCCCCGGTGCCGCGGGCGCTGAGCCCTGGAGCCGCGTCGCCCACGCGGGCCCGCCCGCCCCGCGCGTCCCTGGCTCCTGGGCTGCGGCCCCCGCCCGCCGAGTCCCCCGCGGAGGCGCCGGCCTCCCGCCCCCCACGGGGCGCGCGCACAAAGGTCCGCTCCGGCCCACAGAACGCCCCGCGCCCCCACCCCACGCCCCGCACACACTCGGCTCCCGAGCGCGCCGGGCCTCCTGCCACACGCGACCCGCGCTCCCAGGGTCCACGGCCGACCGGACCCCGCCGCCGCGCGCATTCCCGGAGCCCCCTCCGCGGCGCGGGCGCCCACCTTGCGCTCGCCCTCGGCCATCTGCGCCCTGCGCCCCCCGCGCCACACAAAGCAGGGGCCGGGCTCCTGCGCGCGCCCCTTCTCCCCGGCCTCGCCCGCCGCCCCCGCCGCCCCCGCCGCCCGCGCTCGGTGCTCACCTCGCGCCGCTCACTCGGGGGCCCTGGGCCTGGCGCTGCGGCTTCGCGGCCCCGAGGCCCGGGTGGCCATGGGGTCCGGGTCGGCCGCCGCCCGCCGGGCAGGAAGGAGGGGGGCCGCGCGCCCCCTCCTCGCGCCGGCGCTCGGGCCGCAGTGGGCGGCCTGCTCCGCTCGCCTCCCGGCCGCGCCGCCCGCGCTCCAGTCCGCCTCTCCCGGCCCAGCCGCGGGCGGGGCGGCACCGGGACCGGCCCTGCCGCGCACCCGGACGCGTTGCCTGTGACCGCGGGAAAGGCTCTGCCCGGTGCACAGAGGCGCGAGCGGCTCGGCGTGGGGGCCGCAGGGGGAGCGGGAGGAAAAAGTTCCCGGGCGGCCTGGCTGCGCTCGCCCGCGCCCCGGCGCCCGCAGGGCCGTGCGCGCCCCGACAGCACCCCCTGGCGGCCCGCGTGCCCACTGCGCGCCCGCCCGCCGCCCGCGCGCCTTGTGGGAGGGAGGCTTGGTTGTGGGTCCCAGCGGAGCCCTCAAAAAGTTCATGCTCCGTCTCAGGCTTGGGGACGCCGCAGGACGAGGTTGGGGTGACCGCTGCACCCTCGAGCAGAGGCTTTGGACCGACGCCCCGCTCTCAGGTGCTCCCAGCCTCTGGCCTGTTCTCTAGGCCAGGCTCCCCCCGTCGCCCCACCAGTAGCCCTCACTGAGACCTTCTCTTGAAACCTTTTCGAACCCTAAATGTAACGGGCTGGACGTTCATGCCTTCGCTTACTGGGCACCTGGCACCTTGCTGGGCGCTGAGGAATCAGCAGAAGTACGTGGTTCCTGCTGTCACAGGCTGGTGTCCTGGTGGAGACAGACAGCAAACCAGCGCCTATGTATGGAAAGAACTGCGGGGAGAGAGGAGTGCCAGGGGGAAAACCGGCAGGTGAAGGGGCAGCCTGGCCACTTGGCCGCGAGTGTGGGTAGGAGGCCTATCTCAGCAGGGAACGGAATAGCAGGAAGGCACTGGCGAGGTAGAGCGACAGGAAGAGCATCTCTGGCAGAGCAGAGAGCAGGTGCAAAGGCCCTGAGGCAGAAGAGAGCGTGGTGGGCATGAGCGAGGGGGCGCGTGATGGGCATGAGCGAGGGGGCGCGTGATGGGCATGAGCGAGAGAGTGCGTGGTGGGCATGAGCTAGGGGGCGCGTGGTGGGCATGCTGAAGACAGCGCCTCACAGAGGACCGGGCTCTCCAGGCTGCAGAGGGTCTGGGGAGAAATGCAGGTGCCATTCTAGTGCCACTGGGAAGGAAGCCATGGGCAGATGACCTTGATGTTGGATGAATGAGCGCATGAACCCGTTAACTTAGAGACTCCCCGACAGTTGCCACTCCAAAGCTCCACTCACCGGAAGGCAGGCTGAAAGCCAGCAGCCCCGCCCAGGAGCCACAGCCCCACCCCCCACCCCCCAGCCTCTGTGGTCCCTTGGTGTCATGGAGGTGGTCAGGGCGCCAGAGCTCCCAGGTGCCGTGGGGACTAGTGAGTTCCTGTATCAAACCTCAGTTTCCTCATCTCTAAAATAAGGCAGTGGGGTTGCAAGGACAGTGCCCATTTATCTTGGGGGGACCAGATGACTGTACCCCTTTTTGTGCATCTCATTTGATCCTGTCGCCCCTCTGTAGGCAGCTAATCCTATTTTGCTTCCGAGTAAACTGAAGTCCCCTGTCCTGGCTCTCAGAGCCCTTCCCACCAGCCCACGGCCAGGGAGGACGAGACGGGAGCTGGGTCCAGGTGTGGACTGTGTTGTCTCCATCTGGTTTAAGCACAGGTTCTGGGGGAGACAGACTTGGTTTCTAAATCCGGCTCCTCTGTACCCAGCTGGGTGAGCTTTGTGCAAACCTCTTAACTTGCTGAGACTCAGTTTCCCTATCTGTGAAATGAGTGGGAGTGATAGTGGTTCCACTTCCTGGGGTTGCTGAGACGATAAATGAGGTAGGCTGTGTGAAGCATTTAGCCAGAGCCTGGTATGCAGTGAATGCTGTTGGCATTTTAGGTCAAATGTGTGGGGATGGTCCCTTCCATTCGTCTGGAAACTTCCTCGCCCCCAGCGTGACCCTCCCTGCCTTAACCTGCTGCTGCCGAGAACCTAGGGGAAGGCCACGTGCTGGGGACAGCAGTGAGCAGCAAGAAGAGGAGGACCCTGGGGGCCATTTCTGAGCACCTACTGTGTGCAGATGCCTTCCGTATGTGCTAGTCTCCTAGGGCTATAGTAACAATGGACCACAAGTCTAATGGCTTAAAGGGACATAGATTTCTTCTTCCCAGTGTGTAAGCCAGAAGTCTGAGGTCAGTTTCACTGGGCTAAGGTCAAGGTGTGGAAGGGCTGGCTCCTGGAGACTCTAGGGGAGGGCCTGTCCTTGCCTTTGCTTGCTTCTGGAAGCCGCCTGCATTTCATGGCTCATGCGCCCTTGCTGACCTCCAGAAGGTCGAACAGGTAAGGAAACAATTGCTTCTATTGCCACATCTCCTACCTCCTTTGACTATCTTGACTCCCCTCATAAGGACCTTGTTATTCTATTGGGCCCTCCTGGGTTATCCAGGACACTCTCTCCATCTCAGGACCTTTAATTCAGTCACATCTGCAAAACCCCCCTCCCCTCCCCGTCTTTGCCATATAACAAACTATTCATAGGTCCCAGGGATTAAGACCTAAATATCTTTTTTTAAATACATTTTTATTGATTTCAAAGAGGAAGGGAGAGAGATAGAAACATCAATGATGAGAGAGAATCATTGATCGGCTGCCTCCTGCAAGTCCCACACTGGGGATTGAGCTTGCAACCTGGGCATGTGCCCTGACCGGGAATTGAACCATGACCTCCTGGTTCATAGGTTGACACTCAAGCATTGAGCCACGCCAGCCGGGCAGACCTGGATATCTTTGTGAGCCATTGTTAAGCCTCACTTTCTCTAAAACAAGCATGTCAAACTCGCGCCCACAATGAGTATTTTTGTGGCCCAGCCAATATAACAGTCTGTAAGAAACGTTTTAATAAAAATTTCATAACTTAATTTTTACAATATCCTGTTATACATAATTATTAATAATGAACTACAATGTTTGCTAACGACTGATTACTATCATCGTGTTGCATTCATTTCCCTCACACGCTTACACCAGGCGCACCATTTCTCTCCACTAATACCAGCAGCGAATATTTTAGCAGCCGATGGCCATATCATTAGTCTTGGACTGACTTGTTGGGTGTGTGCAACAGGAAGTATTTCACTTTCAGAGAACAAGAAAAATAGGTTTATTTGCGTTATGCTTATTAATTTGTGCAGTTATTCAGTGTCTGGTAAGTTCATGTTCAAGACAAAATATTAATTTTTATTAAAATGTTCTATTATTTTATGTTAACAATGACTCATTTATTTCAGCCCTTTGTATTCAGCATGTCTCTATTGAAATAAACCTGTTTCTAGGAAAATTGAAGCTTTTATTTGTTTGCGGCCACATACACTTGCACCTTGTTTATTTGGCCCGTGTTAGCTTTGAGTTTGACACACTTGGTCTAAATGCTTTCTCATCAAAACTCATTTTACAGATGAGAGAATTCAGGCCCTGAGAGATGAAGTCACCCCTCCACGGTCACACAGCAGGTGAGTCAGTCACCTGTTCCATGCATGTCATTGAGTGGGTCAGACATCAGGTTAGGCTCCGGGTTGTATGTAAAAGTTACCTATGAAAAGCAAGCTGTGAAGCACAGGCATGACGTGTAATACCTGTCCTGTTGAGGAATTCAAGGAAGGCCTCCAGGAGGCGGTGTCCCATGAGCAGAGACCTGAAGAGTGATTTTCCCTTAAGACAGGCAGGCTTGTGAGCAAGAGCCACTTCTGGGGTTAACCATCGTGAGACTGTGCTTGCTGGGAGGACACGGGGCTTCTCAGGGAGAACCAGAAACTGGTCGGGGTTCCTGCTAGCATCGTCGCCCCATCAGGAGACTGCGGAAACTGTCTGTCATCCTTAGCTAAGAGCGTGAGGAGGGAGGGGCTCACTGTCACACGGGTGCCCGTAAAGACAGCGTTGTGCGAGGACCTCAGACTTGCAGCTTGAAGGTGGAACCCAGGCTGCTGGATTGGACAGAGCAAAGTGTTGGAAGGTTTTGGGGTGGAGATGCCTTTAAGGACTCTAAACTCTGGGGCCCCACCACTGTGACCTGTTGTTCTTTATCCACATTTAAATCACCAGCTGGCCATCTAAGGAATTGGAGTTGGAGATGTCCTCCCCTCTCCCCAGGGTTATGGCCCAGTTCTGCATCTGAATGGCCTTGGCCCTGAGCTCCCCTAGATTTTCTCTTTGGCCAAAAGGAGACAATGATTCCTGCCAGCCGGAGAGACCCCTGGGCACTGGAAGCCAGGGAAAGGGGGGGGTCTATCTCCAGTTAGAGTCCTGTCCGGAGGGAACAGATGTATTACTGGCTCACGCAATACAATGCAGGGGGATTTCCTTAGGTGACATCCACTTCAATACCCTTATCACTGCTGGGAAACTGAGGCCTGGGAAACAAGTGTGGAGAGAGGGGGATGCAGAGCAGGACTCAGGTGTCCTAGGCCCGTCCTGCCTGCCTGAGGACGAAGACAGCCGAGGCCCAGGCTTCCCACACAGCGCCTTCCCGGCCCAGGCAGAGCGGGGTGCAGCCAGCCTCGCTAGTGAGCACACAGCCAGCGCTTACTGAACACTTACCATGTGCTGGGCCCTGTGGTTGGGTCTCTTACCACCCTTCTGCAGAGGGGAAAAGAGGGTCCCAGAGACAAGAGAACCTGTTTGGAAGGGAGCGAGATGGAAAAGCAGGGGACCCCTCTTCCAGCTCTGCCTTGGGCAGCTCCATGCCCGCTTGGAGCCTCTCGTTCTACAGGAGGAGAGAGGCCGCCCACCTCTGGGGCTGGTTGCGGGGAGTTAAGCCCTCAGTGCCGGGAGCTGGGTGGCTGCTGCTTCCCCTCTGGGCCTCTGTGAATGGGCCCATGCGGCTCCACCACCTCTACCCGAAGGCGAACGGGGTGAGCCGTTCCTGCAAAGGTCTTGCCAGTTCCTGGCACCCGGCCACAGAACGACAAGGCCGAGAGAAGGATGGGCAGCTCATTTCTGAGTGACCGGTGATCACTGGACGGAGCATGAGACCCTGGGCCTCTGCCAGGCTCTGGTGACAGCAGAGAAGGTGACAGCCCTGCTGGGCTCCAGTTCCAGGCCCAGACCTGCAGGCCAGGCCAGACAGGTATCGGGAGATCCTCCGTTCACTCATCACACGCTGACTCGTGGTGCACATTAACGGGGCCAAGCCCTGTTCGAGATGCATCTCAGGGAGAAGGCGATGCAGGCCCCACCCACACAGCACCCGTGGGTCTGCTGAGCCACACAGACACTGGACCACCCCAGAGGCCTCATTATCCCAAGGA